ATCAGAGTTCAGTGGGTAGGCAGATCAGCAAACTCATTGGCTGATTCACTTGCAAAACAAGGGGTTTCTCAGGATACTTTATTTTGGGCTTCAGTGTAATTTCTTTTGTACTTATAATTCTGTAATTAGCTTTAAAGGAAAGGTTGCATCTCGTGCCTTTCCACGAGTTGCGTGTAACTCTTATTTGCTGGTTTAATAAAATTTCACTCATTTATCAAAAAAAAAAAAAAAAAAGAAAGTTTGGAGGGAAGACTTCCTTCGTTCAAAAGTTAGCACTCCAGAAACAAACCAGAGGAAGCTGAAGCTCATTGAAGCTCAAGTTCGTCCAAGACTCCAAGCCCGAATCGAACAGAGCTACAATATCAGCCTATAAGGCATGTTATGTATTTTTTTTTTTGTTCTTCTTCCTATGGCAGTTGGCAATCTAGGCTGAAACAGGGGCTCCGCCCTATTTTTTTTCTTCTTCAGCCTCTTCTTCTTCTTCGTACAAAACATGCATAAAAACAGGGGCTCTGCCCCTTTTATTTTTTTCGATTTTTCTCAGTAAAACAAAGACTCCACCCTTCAGTTTTATCACTAAAACAGGGGCTCTGCTCTTCTGTTTTATCAGTAAAACAGGGGCTCCGCCCTTTCTCTTATTCTTCTTCTTCTTCTTCTTCAGTTTTATCAGTAAAACAGGGGCTCTGCCCTCTCTTCTTCTTTCTTGCAGTCTTGTTTGTTGCACAAAAACAGGGGCTATGCCCCATTTGTTTTTTCAGTTTTTGTCATAAAAACAGGGGATCCGCCCCTTTTTTTCAGTTTTTCTCATTAGAGCAGGGGCTCTGCCCCATTTTTTTTTCAGTTGTTATCATAAAAGCAGGGGATCCACCCTATTTTTTTTCAGTTTTTCTAATTGAAACATATTGCTTTTCAGTTTTTATCATACAAACAGGGGATCCGCCCCTTTTGTTTTCAGTTTTTCTCATTAAAATTGGGGCTTCATAGTCCACCCCATTGTTTTTTTAGTTTTTTATCATTAAAATTGCCCATTCTTCTTTATAGTTTCTACAAAGACTTGCATACTTGCAGAATTGCAGTCTTGCTTCTTAGTGAGTTAAAACAATTCAGTTTTTCTCATTATCAAATAAGATAGTTTATTTATTTCTGTTATTATCAAGCAGAACTAGAATAGTTTATTTATTTTCAAAGATAGGTGCACAAATATGAGTATTGATAGTTGCAAATTGTAATTTGTTATTTGCCAATAGGAAATTTTGCCAACCGAGTAAAGAGATGGGAGACAAGTCCGACAATACTCAAGAAAGCAATAGGAAAGACCCGAGTTAGAAATATTGTTATTTGCAAGATCCAAAGAATACAAATTCTGTCACTTGCAAATTTTGTGGCAAAATGACAAATGGAGGGATCTATAGAGAAAAGGAGCATTTGATTGGTGGAAGAAGAAATGTAAAAGTCTATCCTAAATGCTCGAAAGAGGTGAAAGAAGAGATGTTAGCATACATGCATAGAAAAAAAATCAATGAAAGAGGACATAGTTGGAAGTCAAGAGGGCAGAATTCCTGATTTTGATGATTTTGAAAACATAATTGAAGATGAGTATAAGATGGGGGACAAGGTGGAAGTTCTTGGTGTTGGTGGTGGTGATCACATTCCTTCTGCTTCAGGTTCAAAAAGAAGTTCTAAACAGTCCCCCACAAGAAGGCAAAAGGGGCCTTTGGATAAATTTTTTCCTACTCCAAGCCCAGAAGAAATGAAGCAAACCACTATTAGTGATGCGTATAATAAAAGGGAGAGAGCAAGTATGCATACACATTGCTAGATGGTTTTATCAAGCTGGTATTCTCTTGAATACCGTACGCTTGAAAAGTTTTGAAGCAATGGTAGAGGCAATAGGGCAATTTGGTCCGGGATTAAAAATCCCAAGTTACTATGAGTTGCGAATTCCTTTCTTGAAGGAGGTTGATTATACAAAACATTGCTTCAGCACCATAATGAGTCTTGGGAAAAATGGGGCTGCTCTCTTATGTCTGATGGGTTGACAGATAGAAAGGATAGGACCCTCATAAATTTTTTGGTCCATAGCCGTGCGGGGACAATGTTTATAGAGAGCATTGATGCTTCAAGTGAAGTAAAAACAACTGAGAGGTTATTTATATTGCTTGACAAGATGGTGATGAGAATCGGTGAGAAAAATGTTCTCCAAGTTATTACTAACAACGCATCAAATTATGTCCTAGCCGGTTTTATACTTTGTTATTATTTCTATTTAACTTTAGTCTTTTGACATGTTAGAGTCACATTTCTTAATTCTTATTTCTTGAATTGTTTTCTTGTATTATTAGGGAAATTTTTGATGGCAAAGCATCCTCATCTGACATGGACACTGTGTGCTGTCCATTGCTTAGACTTGATATTGGAAGACATTGGAAAGTTGCCTACTGTGAAGAGAACAATTGAGAGGGCAATTGCACTTATGGGTTATATCTATAACCATCCAGGTTTATTGAACCTGATGAGGAAGTTCACAAATCAAAGATTGATTAGGCCAGCAAAAACCTGTTTTGCTACTTCCTTTCTCACATTGTAGAGTATATACAAACAAAAAAAGAATTTGAGAGGTTTATTCAACTCAAAGGAATGGAGTGATAGCAGATGGATAAAAGAAGCAAAAGGGAAAAGAATAGGGGAGACAGTCATGATGCCCACATTTTGGAATAATGTCATCTTTACTCTTAAAGTGTGTGGCCCTCTTGTTTGTGTATTAAGGTTGGTGGATCGTGAAAGCAGGCCTTACATGGATTACATTTATGAGGCTATGGATCGAGCAAAGGAGGCCATTGACAAGGCATTTGGTGGAAGGAAAGAAAAATATGAAATTTTTGAAATTATTGATAAGAGGTGGGAATGCCAACTCCACCAACCATTGCATGCAGTTGGTTACTTTTTAAACCCCCAATTTTATTATGATGATCAAGAGAGACTTGAAACAGATGAAGAGGTTATGATGGGGCTTTTTAAAGTAATTGAGATGCTTGAGAAGGACAAGAACAAGAGAAGTGTAATCATTGATGAAATATCCAAGTACAAGAATGCAGAAGGCATTTTTGGTTTTGATATGGCTATTTCCCAGAGGAAGACTAAAGCACCAGGTAAATAACATTGATTTAATAATTAATACAATATTTGATTATCTTAATATTTTTAGTTTGTCTAATCATCACTAATTTAGTTAATATTTATATTTTTTAGCTGATCGGTGGACCATATTTGGTGCTTCTACCCCGAATCTACAAAAGATTGCAGTGAAAGTTCTAAGTTCGACATGTAGTGCATCGGGGTGTGAGCGAAATTGGAGCGTATTTGAGCATGTATGCCAAACTACTACACTCAAATACTTCAATTTTTTTTTGAATAAACTATCTTAAATTTATACTTATTTAATTTTTTGAATTAACAGATTCATACTAAGAAAAGAAATCGGTTGGATCAGAAGCGATTGAATGACTTGGTATTTGTTAAGTTCAACTAGATGCTTAAAGAAAGTTTTGACTCACGTAGCACCAATGACCCCATTTCATTAAAAGATATATATGAGAGTAATGAATGGTTAATGGGGGAGGTAGGATGTGACGAGGATGGTGCAGAAGCTGATTTGGTGTTTGATAATGATACACTAACATGGGGAGATGTTGCTTGTGCTTCTGGAGTTGAAGAGCCACTAAGGTATACAAGGTCTAGAGCTTCAACTTCCCAAGCAAGAACAACAAAATCTAGTGGAAAAAGACCAAGACAGCTTCAATTGGAAGATGAAGAAGAGGAAGAAGAAGTTGAAGAAGAAATGGAAGAGGATTTTGATGACTACAAGTCAGATGACAATGAAGATGAAGTTGAACTTCCAAGTGAAGATGAAGATGATTAGAGGATGAGGATACTGATTGAGACATTGAGTCTTGAAGAATGGCTGAACTGAAACCTTACGACTCTTTTTTTTTTATATATATAGAAAATTGTCTATGATTTTGTTTTGTAGAAAATTGTCTGACTCATTTTTTGGGTAGAAAACTGTCTATGACTCAATATATAGCTTGTTTTTTGAAATATTTTTCAAATCTGATTCCTTACTTGCCTATTACAATAAAGGATTAATTTTTATATTGATTTTGTTACCTGTGAGTGTAACGGTGTGAGCCATGGAGAGGATACTGATACCAAGAGGTAAGTGTCTTTTAAGTGTTAACTTCATTAATGCTGATTATCTTATGTTGTATAGGTTGTGCTCAATTGTTCATATGTCATATTCTTTAATTTTTTTATATTTATATTTTATATTTTTATATTGAATCATTGAATTTGAATGTGTTATACTGTTCTGTTATTATTATTTTTTTGTAGTCTAGTCTCCTTTAATTATTTAATACTGATTTCTTAATTCTGTACTTATTGCATATTTTCCTGATTAACCAATTGAATCATTGCTGATTGCATATTCTTTAATTCTTTTATATTTAATGCTGATTGTATTTGCATATTCTATAATTCTTTTATATTTAATCATGCTGATTTCTTAATTTTTATATTGAACCATTGCTGATTTCATACTTTATCAGTTTATGAGTATATCTCTAATTTTTATTTCTGTAGATTCAAGATTGATAATTGATGATTGCATATTTGCATATTTTCCTGATTCATTAACTTCAGATTGCTGATAAGCTGATTACATTACCTCTAATGAGTAATGTCTAATAATCTAAGTATCTAATTCTAACCAATTGAGCTAATAATTAAGTAATTAACTTTGTTTTTTGATATTTTCCTAATGTCTTAGAATTTCTACATGTTTTTTTTTTTCTATTTTTTCTATTTTTAGTTTTTTATTTTTATTTTGTGTGCCTTTTTTAAAAAGGCGTGTGCCTCGCCTTGCGCCTTGCGCCTCAGGCGCATTTGGAACCTGTTGCTTTTTGTGCGCCTTTCGCTTTTAAAACACTGTGATAGGTACACATGTTCTTTTTCTTACAGTGAGAAATCATGTGACCTACTCCTTGCATTCTTAACATCTTCTCTTGGGACAAAGCATTCTTTAGTGTGGACTTATTTGCAAGAAATGTAATCTTAACTCCAGAATCATGTTTCCCATTAATAGTAGACTTAGTGATCAACCTCGTTTTTTCCCTGAGGAATTCTCCCAAGATTGCATCTTAAAAACAACTTGGGCTGCTTTTGGTTGCAATGCAAACGCAAATATGTACATTACATATTTACCCATTTTTCGGTTCATGAATGCAAATACGGTTCACATTTTAAACTGTTTTTGCATTCATCCTGTTTGTTTGAAATCGGTGCAAAGGTGTGGGCCCATCATTAAATGCTCCAACTATCTTATGCTTCAATGCCTCAACTTTGGTCAAAAAGTTAATTATCAAATGAACACAAATTTGTATCCAAAAAATAGGTACAAATGCTATCTTTTTAGAGTGCAAAAGTGTCAGAAAATGCAATTTTACTTTGATAGTCGTTACTTTTTTATGTTTCAAACAAACGCTCGCAAACGCAAACCGGGGTGCATATACCCTGGTTCGGTGTTTGTATCGCAAACAAATGCAGCCTTGAAATCGATTTAGAGAACAAGAGAAAAATAAAAGAAACCGAGAATAATGAGAAGAAGAGAGTAGTAAACTAGGTCGAATTAGAAGAGTATGTCTGTATCTACTGCCCTTCTTATTTTATTATATAATAAAAGGTAGCATTACAAAACTTCCCTTGATTATGTAAAATAAAGGCATTTTGTCTTGCCACCTATAACTCCTAACACTCCTCCTCGAGTTGGAGCATAAATATCATAAAGTTCCAGTTTGTACAAATGTAATCTATCCTTAAACAACTTAGACTTTTAGTGAAGGAATCGACTAGCTGATCCTCCAACCTGACATGGGGGCATGAGGTAACAACTGTACCATTTGCAACTTTCTCTCTTACAAAATGGTAGTCAACCATTGTATAGCCATTTCATGAAAAATTGGGTTGGAAGCAATACGTGTAGCAGCTTGATTGTCACAAAACAATTTTATAGGCTCAAACACAGATGTTTCAATCTCTTGGAGGAGATGCTTCAACCAGATTAGCTCACAAGTTGTATGCGCCATTGCCCTGTACTTAACCTTAGCACTACTTCTGGCAACCACACTTTGCTTCTTACTTCCCGCATGATTAGATTCTCGCCTAAGAAAGTGCAATAACATGTGGTCAACTTTCTATCCACTGAGGATTTTGCCAATTTGCATCTAAATGTCCTTCCAATAACAACCCTCTCCCTTTCTTATATAACAAGCCTCGACTTGGAGCACCTTTTAAGTAGTCACCCTAACTATTGCCTTCCCAATGACTAGATCTAGAACTCTGCATAAATTGACTCAAAACTCCCACACTGAAGGTTATACCTGTCCTGTACCTCTATTAGTCATCTTAACATTGGGATCCATGGGAACTAGATTAGCTCCTAACAGCTCAGTTTCATCCAACCAATCAAGTACATATTTCCATTATAATGGAGAAATGCCCCCATCTTGACCTTGTTGCTTCAATTTCCCAGAAATTCTTCATGTGTCTCAAATCATTGGTCTGAAATTGCTATTGTAAAAATTGCTTCAACTTGTCAATACCTTGAACATCACTACTAGTGATAATTACATCTGACATAGACAACCAAGATAATCTTCCTAGAAGAAGTATCTCTACTAAAAATCGAGTGATCAATACTGCGTTTACGCAAACCAAGTTCTTACCACAGTCTGCATCTACCAAACCAAAGTGTGCTTCTAATGATATTACCACCTTTACTGATCCCAACTTTTTTTGGTCAGCAACACAAAAATTGATTTATCAGTTTTAAAAAGGAGTACAACAAACAGTTGTGGGCAAAGAACAAGCCCAAAAAACAATTCCAATATTTAGAAAACAACCCAAAACATGGATTGTCTCTGAATTCCTTGTTTAGCTACTAACCCATCCGCTATGTTGTTTTCAGATCTCCTAATCCACTTTATTTGGATTATCATGTCTTTACAAACTTACTGATCTCAACTTAGCAATAAGAAAAAGATTTCAGAGTAGTCAATGCCATAGGTTTGGGTATATGCTTTAGCCAACGAACAAGCTTTATATTGTTCAACACTACCATCGTGTCAATGCTTAACTATATACACCCACCTACATCCTACATCCATTTATTTGCTTTCCATGAGCTAAGGAAACCAAATACCATGTATGATTGGAATGAAGAATATGAAATTCTTCGTCCATTGCCTTCTTCTCGTCAGGGGATGTGATGCAGAACGAAAACAAAACACGTGAGAGAAGCTTCAAAGAAAAGAGCAGAAGTCGAATTTTAGGAAGAAGATTCTTCACTAAACAATTAAGAGAAAATTGATAATAAGAGAGCTGCCTTGGTTTTCCCCTAGCTACTCTTTATATAGGCATACACCCTTATGTCTCCTATTCCTAATATGAAAACACTCCATAATAGAATCCTACTAAAACTCCTTAAAAAAAATCCTAATCTAAGAAAACACTCCAAAATAGAATCCTATTAAAATCCTTCAAAAGGAAAGTCCTAATTAAATATAAATTTGAAATAATGCTATCTTGGTAAAAACGAACTAAGATGGAAACTTTGAGATGGCGCCAACTTGGTAAAAACGTACTAAGATATAATTCCTGTGGTGATGCTATATCGGTAAATATTTACTAAGATGGGCCGGTGGCGTCGTTTCTACTTCTTATGTGTCTTGGAATGGTCCCAACTTGCATAGAACTTATTGGCCTTCTCCTGTACTACATCATCCTCCCCGGGTTGGGGAGAATCCGTCCTCGGATTCAAATCATCATCTGATTGATCGCCAACATAAGGTACCAAGTGTTTGACATTGAAAACATCATGGGTACGTATATGGTTGGGTAGCTTTAGTCTCCCGTATCAAATACTACCTTCCTCATTTTTTCCATTAACATATTGTTTGTACTTAGCATTGGCTACTTTCAGCTTGTTGTGGACTTTTTCTTGGAGGTTCTTAAGCTTCTGTACCATAGCATAGAATTCCACATCATAAGTTGAGTAGTTGAGGCATGATTCATTCAATTTCTCACTATAGTAGGCTATGGGCTGGCCACCTTGGCTGAGAACAACACCGATTCCAACCTTAGAAGCATTACAATCAACCTCAAAGGGTTGCTCGAAGTTGGGAAGGGCTAGCACGGGTGCAGTTGTCAACCGTGCCTTAATCCCAATGAAGGCTCTCTCTTCTTCAGTGGTGAACACAAAATTGGTTGTAGCCTTCATATAGTCTGTATATGGTGCCATAACAGTGCTGAAGTTGCTAATGAGTCACTGATAGAAGTTTGCAAGACCATGAAAACTTCGTGCTTCAGTAAGTGTTTTGGGGATGGGCCACTCAACAATGGCATGAACCTTCTCTGGGTCTATAGAAACTCCTTCCCTTGAGATGATATATCCAAGGAATAAGACCCGATCTATGGCAATAATACACTTCTTCATGGTTGCATAAAGTTGCTCCTTGCGCGAAGTCACAAGTATATCTCGAAGATGCAACAAATGGGAGTTCATATCAATGCTATATATGAGAATATCATCAAAGTATACCACAACATACATTCCAATAAAAGGCTTGAGAACCTGGTTCATGACCCTCATGAATGTGCTTGGTGCATTGGACAAACCGAATGGCATCACTAGCCATTCATACAAACCATCCCGCATCTTGAATGCTGTCTTCCATTCATTACAGAGAAAAATTCTAATTTGATGGTAGCTTGATTTCAAGTCCAACTTAGTAAGCACCTTGGCCCTAGCAGGTTGATCCAACATGTCATCCCAACGTGGAATCGGAAATCGATATTTGATGGTTATCTTATTAATTACTTGGCTGTCAACATTCATCCTCCAAGTACCATCCTTTTTCGGTACTAATAAGTGGGAACCGCGCATGGACTCATATTGTCTTGTATGAACCCTTTAGCAATCAATTCAT